TCTCTCTCTCCACGGGTTCCAAGAGCTTCTCAGTGCAGGGATCCCAGGTCCAAAGGATGCACTCCCCACTCCTGGCTTTCTTCCTTGGTAGTGGTGGGATTCTCTTCTGCTCTGGAATTGGCTCTCTTTTAAGGCAAAACTGACCAATCCCTTTGGTGGTCCACAATTACCTCAGTTGCACAGTCCTATCTGACCACTTTGGTGTGAGATACAAGACCATGATGAGAAAGGCCACACAAAAACGATCCATTACACTGCACCTAGTAATAAACAATAGGTGTGCCTTTTCTCGTGGAGTTAAAAATCTAATTGGAGAATATAGTCAATAAATAATTAAGTAGGTAATATTCCAGGTTATGATAAATATTTTGAAGAAAAATAAAAATCACTTAAAGGGAACAAAGAGTAATAAGAAGGTGGTATTTTCAATGTATACTTAGAAGTGTTGTCTCTGTTTGGGAGTATTTTAAAACAATTGATAGAGACATGCATGTATATTGAGAGAAAATCGATAAATATTTGACAGAAAGTGCAGCAAAAGGCCGCTGTAGTTGATCATATTGAGATCGATGGAGAGGATGACCTCAGAGAAGGAATTGGTGGATAGATCATGTTACCTTTAAATTGAATGGGAGGAGAAGCTATATGTGAGTTTAGACAGAGAAATAACATGGATTTTAATTTTTTTATGATCAGACTTGGTGGTGTTTGAGAAAAAAAAACTGCAGTAAGGCATGATTTGGAGCGTAGAAACCAATTAGGAGGCTATTACATTAATCTGTGTAAGAGATCATGAAGTCTTCCAACAGGTGGTTTTGTTAAGAACATATTCTGGATGTAGTTATAGATCTGACAAAATTTCATGACAGCCATGGTGTTTATGAGAAATAGAAGATGACCTCAAGATTCTTGTCCAGGACAAGTAGACAGTTGAGTTCCTGCTTATTGTATTTGGAAGTATAAACCGTGCAGACTATGGTGGGTGCAGGTTTTATTTCTTTACATGTACTATATTAATTCTCATAGCTCTCCAAGATAATTAATGGATTTATCTCCATATTACAGAAGCAGAAAATGAAGCACATGTAATTTAGATATATTTCATGAGGACATACAACACGTTAGTGGTAGAGCTAGGATCTTAACCCATGTGGTTTGATTGGCTGTAGAGTCTGCATTTAAAGACACTGTTATCCTTCTTGAGGAGCAGGTTTTGAGGGAGGAGAATAAAGATTTTAGGGAATTTAAATTTAAAATGTCTGTGAGATAAGCTTAAGAAGAAACATTGAGTAGAGAATTGGATATTGGAGTCTGGAGTTTAGGTGAAAAGTTCAAGTTAGAGAAATATCTGCGCTACCAGGATATAGGTGTTGTTTAAAACCATAGAACTGGATAAGATTACCAATGAATAATTATAGATAAAGAAGGAGCCCTGGTGGCATAGTGGTTAAGAGCTTGGCTGCAAACCAAAATGTTGGCAGTTCGACACCACCAGACGCTCCTTGGAAACCCTCTGGGGCAGTTTTACTCTGTCCTACAGGGTCACTATGAGTCGGAATCAACTCGATGGCAACAGGTTTGGTTTTTTTTTGTTTTTGTTTGTGGGTAAAGAAAGGAAAAGCCCAATTTTTTTTACCCAAATATATTCCAATATTTAGAGGCTTGAAAAGGAGAAGGAAGCAGCAAATAATAAAAAAAAAGATGGAACAATTTATGAGCTAAGAGTTAAAACAAGAGAGAGCAGTATCCTCTGACCAGGATCACAACAGAGGGTTCTGGACAGAGCTGGAGAAGGATGTAGAAAGTAATTTTAACTCACAAAAGAGACCAGATTTACTGGCCTAAAGGAGACTGGAGAAACCCCAAGAGTATGGCCCCCAGACACCCTTTTAGCTCAGTGGTGAAGTTACCTCCGAGGTTCACCGTTCAGCCTGGGAGTGGACAGCCCCGTAAAACCAAATGAGACTAATGAGGTACAGGAGTCCAGTGACAAGGGCCAGAAGGCAGAAGGGGACAAGGAAGCTGGTGATAGGGAACCCAAGGTTGAGTAAGGATATTGTTGATGTGTTGTGAGATTGTTAACCATTGTCGTAGGGCAACATTTGTAGTAACTGTTAAATGAGAAACTGTTTTGCTCTGTAAGCCTTCATCTTAAGTGAGAATAGCAGCACAATTGGAAGAGCACAGTCAATGTCACTGAACTGTGCATGTAGAAATTTTTTGAAATGGTGTATCTTTGGCTATGTGTATTTTCACTAAAAAAAAAAGGTTGAGAAGTTAGAGGGTTGACATGTTGTGGGGTTGTTAACCAATGTCATAAAACAATATGTGTACTACTGTTTCATGAGAAGCTATTTGTTCTGTAAGCCTTCACCTGAAGTACAATAAAAAAAAAAAAAAGAGTAAGCAGTATCACAGATCAAAGGAAATGTTACTGATTAGTTATTTTTTCCTATTAAATAGTTGTTGTGGAGTCATTTCTAACTCATGGCTACCCCATGCATGTCAGAGTAGAACTGTGCTTCATAGGATTTTCAATGGCTGATTTTTCAGAAGTAGTTATCTCCAGGCTTTTCTTCTGAGGCGGCTCTGGGTAGACTTGAACCTCTAAAAAAAAATTTTGTTTTAATTGAACTTTAGATGAACGTTTACAGAACAAACTAGTTTCTCATTAAACAGTTAGTACATATATTGTTTTATGGCATTGGTTAACAACCCCATAACATGTCAGTACTCTCCCTTCTCGACCTTGGGTTCCCTATTACCAGCTTTCCTGTCCCCTCCTGCCTTCTAGTCCTTGCCCCTGGGCTGCTGTGCCGCTTTAGTCTCGTTTTGTCCTATGGGTCTGTCTAATCTTTGGCTAAAAGGTGAATCTCCAGAGCAACTTCATTACTGGGCTAAAATGGTGTCTGGAGGCCATACTCTCAGGGTTTATCCACTCTTTGTCAGGCCAGTAAGTCTGGTCTTTTTTTGTGAGTTAGAATTTTGTTCTACATTTTTCTCCTGCTGTGTCTAGGACCCAATATTGTGATCCCTGTCAGAGCAGTCAATGGTGGTAGCTGGGCACCATCTAGTTGTAGTGAACTCAGTCTGGTGGAGGCCATATTAGTTGTGGTCTATTAGTACTTTGGACTAATCTTTGCCTTGTGTCTTTAGTTTTCTTCATTTTCCCTTGCTCCTGAAGGGGTAGGACCAGTGGAGTATCTTAGATGGCTGCTCATAGTCTTCTAAGACCCAGACTCTACTCACCGAAGTAAAATGTAGAACATTTTCTTTATGAACTATGTTATGCCAACTGAGCTAGATGTTCCCTGAGACCATCATCCCCACAGCCCTCAGCCCAGCAATTCAGGCCCTAAAAGAGTTTGGATTTGTCCGTGGAGCTTCCATGACCTTACCCTGAACAAGTTGTACTGGCTTCCCCAGTATTGTGTACTGTCTTACCCTTCACCAAAGTTACTACTTATCCATTGTCTATTTAGTGTTTTTCCACCCTCACCCCTCCCATCCCTCGTAACTATCAAAGATTTGTTTCTTTTTGTGTATAAACCTTTTCATGAGTTTTTATAGTAGTGGTCTCATACAATATTTGTCTTTTTGTGACTGACTTATTTCACTCAGCATAATGCCCTCCAGATTCATCCATGTTGTGAGATGCTTCGCAAATTCATCATTGTTCTTTATCATTGTGTAGTATTCCATTGTGTGTGTGTACCGTAGTTTGTTTATCCATTCATCTGTTGATGGGCATCTAGGTTATTTCCATCTTCTGGCTATTGTGAACAATGCTGCAGTGAACGTGGGTGTGCATATGTCTATTCATGTGACAGCTCTTATTTCTCTAGGATATATTCCTAGGAGTGGGATTGCTGGATAATATGGTATTTCTATTTCTAGTTTTCTAAGGAAGTGCCATATTATTTTCCAAAATGGTGATATCATTTTGCATTCCCACTGGCAAAGCATAAGAGTTCCAATCTCCCTGCAGCCTCTCCAACATTTGTTATTTCCAGTTTTTTTTGATTCGTGCCAGTAATGCTGGGGTGAGATGGTATCTCATTGTGGTTTTGATTTGCATTTCCCTATCAGCTAGTGATCGCAAGCATTTCCTCATGTGTCTGTTAGCCGCTTAAATGTCTTCTTTGGTGAATTTCTGTTCATTTCCTTTGCCCATTTTTTAATAGGATTATTTGCCTTTTTATGATAGAGGTGTTGGATTTTCCTGTGGATTTTAGAGGTTAGACCTTTGTCAGATTTGTAATATCCAAAATTGTTTTCCCCGTCTGTAGGTTCTCTTTTCAGTCTTTTGGTGAAGTCTTTTGATGAGCCTAAGTGTTTACTTTTTAGAAGATCCCAGTTCTAGCTTATCTTCTGGAGTTTGTATGTTATTAGTTATGGTTTCTATCCTGTTAATGTTGTGTATTAGGGTCTCTAGCATTGATCCTATTTTTTCTTCTATGATCTTTATAGTTTTTGATTTTAGACTTAGGTCTTTGATCCATTTTGAATTAGTTTTTGTGTATGGTTTGAGGTATGGATCCTGTTTCATTTTTTTGCAGATAGACATCCAGTTTTGCCAGCACTATTTGTTAAAAAGACTGTCTTTTCCCCATTTGATGGACTTTGGGCCCTTGTAGAAGATCAGGTGACTGTAGGTGGATGGATTTACTTCTGGGTTCTCAGTTCTGTTCCATTGATCAATGTATCTGTCGTACTAGTACCAAGCTGTTTTGACTACTGGAGCTTAGTAGCTAACTTTTGGTTACCTGCCAAGTGCATAAACTGTTTGCACCAACTCCTTTGTTCTACTAAAGAATATTTAATACAGATTCTTGCATAGTTGACATCCAATACACAGAAAGATGAAAGCTTAGCAGTAACAAAATTGAGCATTTGGTCTATTATGGAATGCTATCAAATAGCTTTGTTCCAATGGTAGGTGGTTTATAGAAATAAAATAATTCTTACATAAAAACTTTGAAATATGATGTATTTTTTAGTCATTCCAGTGGTACGAAGATCTTTAGTAACTGCAGCATGGACGATTTTGCGCATTTTATTTCAAAGCCTAACTCCCAGTGTCTTCAAAATCAACCACACTTAGATCCATCCTACAAGGTTGCAGTTTGTGGTAATGGAGAAGTGGAACAAGGAGAACAATGTGACTGTGGATCTCCAGAGGTTGGTAATAAATTGGATGCATATGATATACCAGAATTGCATAAAAATATTAATTAAATTTTATAGTGTTACAGTGCCATTTTCCTTAATTTATCAAACTGTGTTTTCTACAAAGGCCTTAGGAAGGCATTGTAATGGTTAAGATTGTATGTCAACTTGGCTAGACCATTATTCTACGTGTTTTAGTAGTTGTATAATGTTGTGATCACCCCCATGAAGGAATCTGCTGAGTGGTACTGGCGGAGGCGGGGCCTGTGGCAGCTCACTGCCCTCTCAGTTTCATCTCTCTGACTTCCACCGGTTACCTTCCGCCTGCTCGCCTTGCCGAGGTTTTTGGCTTGTTCCAGACTCGGCAGCTGCCTCTTGTTGTCTCACCTCCCGTGGGACTTGAGCTAGCGGCTTACCTGTTGATCTCGGAATTCGTCCAACTTCTCAGCCTGCAAGCAAGAGGGCGGTTCCCCGACCTGCTGACCTTGGGTTCGCCAGCCCCTGCAGCTACATGAATCAGGAGAAACCTGATTGTCTTGTGTGCTGATCTTGGAATTCACTGACCTTCACAGCCTGTGAGCAGAAGCCCCTCTCCGACCTGCCGACCTTGTGTTCACCAGCTTCTGCGGCTACGTGAACTGGGAGAGGCCTCTACCCTGATCTGTGGACTTGGGACGTTTTAGCGTCTACAATTGCGTGAGCTATTTCCTTGATATAAATCTCTCTATATATATATTTATATGCTTTACTGGTTTTGCCTCTCTAGAGAACTCAGCCCAAGACAGGCATATAGGGATTATAACAAACTAATGAGTGCACTTATATATTAGTGTATGGATTCAGTGATTTGTAGATTATCCACATAGGGTAATTTTCGAGTTCATAAAATTTTATAACTGAGTTTACCTGCACCATCTTGGTCATATTCTGCCCTAGTATATCTTTTAAACCTATCATCATCAATCATTCAGAAAAATAGATATAAATGTTTCACAGTGGAAAAAGAAAACATAGAAGTCATGCTTGTGGCTTTTGACTATTTTAATCCAGGTCAATATTTAAGTCATAATGATCTGGAACATACATAATTGGGCAAAGCCAGTTTTTCAATGCATAGAAATTATATAAAGCTGCTGGATTGGAAGGGAGGTAGTAACAGTAGAGATGAAAGGAATGCAATGAGGAAGAGATGTTGTGAATTCAGAGTAAGTGGTATGGACCTGAAAGAATCAAGAAAACATGAGTGGCACTCAGTGTCCCCTACTGCAAAGGCTAAGATCATTCATGTGTGCCTTCCTCAACATGAAAAGTGTGTCTCTAGGTATCTAAATTAGGGAGGGAGTTATTTTTACCACCACCCACTTGTTTTTTTGTTTGTTTGTTTGGAGTCTCAGTGTAACCATCTTTAATTTCCCATGAAAAATTGACATGAATAAATCTTAGCTCCATTAAGTGCCATATAATTGAGTTCTAAACCTCTGTGGTATAACTTTCCCCTCTGGAATCCCATATAGAAGACAATAGCATCAACCTTTATTGAGCAGAATAGCTCTGGAAATACTGCATATTCAGTGTGCCGTAGTTAGTACCTTGTTATAACACATATTAAGACTAATGAAATCTACAGATTACTTTTGTGTAAATTAAGATTTTTGCCCAATAACCCTATTTCAAGGCCCTAGGAATTTAAAAAATGTTAAAATATGTGGATTTTTGTATGTGTATGTGAATATATTGTCTCTTCAGTCTTCTTTTTTATCTGTTACCTTTATTAGCCCTTGTAATAGATTTTAAAGCAGATTTTTTGGGTACAGATGAATTAGACCACAAAACAGAGCATTACAAAATATGAGTGAATGATATAAAGGTGTTAATTTCAGTCATGATCAGAAATATCTTCTAGCCCTTGATCGTTAAAGAATTAAAAATGAAGTAAGCTGCCATATACCATAGAAAGTACCACAAAAAAAAAAAAAAAAAAAAAACCCAATTGCCATCAAGTTGATTCTGACTCATAGCGACCCTAGAGGACAGAGTAGAATTGCCCCACAGGGTTTCCAAAGAGCAACTGGTGGATTTGAACTACTGACATTTTGGCTAACAGCCAAGCTCTTAACCACTGCACTACCAGGGCTCCATAGAAAGTACAGACTTACTAAAATATAGTAGATTCGTAAGAGTTGAGTAAGAACTAGTCACTTTAATAAATTTTGAAATCATAACCTTTGCTTATTTCATGCCTTGTATTTAGCCAGAGATCTTTGTAATGTCTTTTTTTTAATATGTTGTTGATAAGTGCTGTCGAGTCGATTTCGACTCATAACGACCCTATAGGACAGAGTAGAACTGCCCTAGAGGGTTTCCAGGGAGCAGCTGGTGGATTCGAACTGCCGACCTTTTGGTTAGCAGCCGAGCTCTTAACCACTTTGCCACCAGCGCTCCTTTTTTATATATATAATATTTTATTGTGTGTTTTTGGTGAAAGTTTTCACAGCAAATTAGGTTCCCATTTGACAATTTCTACACAAATTGTTTAGTGACATTAGTTACAGGTGTCAGCATTCTCTTTAATTGGGTTCTGGTTGTTCCGTTTACAGTACTCTAGTTCCCATGCCCCCCTTATCTTATCTTCTTTGCTTTAGGGTGATTGTGGACCTTATTGTCTCACATAGCTGATATTTTACTGAAGTACCCTACTTACAGGTAATATCCTTTATTTTGTGTGCCAATCTGTTATTTCACTAAAAGGTGACCTCAGGAGATAGTTTCTGTTCAAGGTTTAAATGGTACCTGTCTTTTAGATGTCTTGGCTGTGGTGAACTCCAAGGCTTCAGAAAATCCTACTACCAATATAGCCAGACCTACTCTAAGGATTTAAGGAACACTGAGTCTAGCGTATAGTTGGCATTGCCTATTAAATAAATGAGTGAATAATGGGCTTTATTTATTATGTTTTCTAACATGTAACTTAAGCATCTGTCTGTATATTATGTCATATATTGTTCTCACTAAAATATCTATTCAAGGTAAATAAAAGTTGGAAGAGACTTCAGAGCATTTGATTTGCCTTTCAGGAGTGTGCTGCCCAGCCAGAAGCATGCTGTAGTAGTGGCACTTGTAGGCTGACACCAGGGTCACAGTGTGCTCACGGAGAGTGCTGTGATAATTGTAATGTAAGAGCTATTTTATTTCTATACAATCCACATTAAGTAAAGTTATCCTTGTTGTATGTTCACAGGCTGCTTTACTCAGTGTCATTTGTTCTACTCCATCAGTTTAAGGAAAAAGGAGCCATATGTAGGCCTAACATGGATGAATGTGATCTAAATGAATATTGCAATGGAACATCTGCAGCATGTCAAGAAAACTTTTTTGTTCAGAACGGGCATCCATGTGGAGGGAATCAGTGGATCTGTCTGGAAGGAAAATGTATGGATGGGATGAAACAATGTAGCAGTATATTTGGTGAAGGTATTTATTCTAATCTGATATCTTGAAGCATTTTTCTGAAAACAGAAAGGAACAATAGATGTTTATATAAGATTTTAATTTCTTTTTAGTAATGTGACTTTTAATATAAATATTTTGAAAGATTATAGAAAAGGAATGTGGTAAAAAATAAACCATGTAATAGTAACCTAGAATTAAACTTCTGAATTATTTCCATAAAATAATAAAGGGAAAGTTTCAAAGTCTTTGGTTCTTTTGTATTCAAGAAGGAAGAAGGCAGACTGAGCGTAAGCTACAGTATCCTTCTCTCCATATTCACAATTTTCGGGGGGTAAATATGGAATAAATAAATAAATATGACTATAGGCATTAAACAGATCATAAATGTAAGTAGGCACATGAATCTAACTTAAACCGCGTATGCAGAGACACACCTCACATGCACAATTTACATCTAAGAACTACAAGGAGGACTCATGAAAATCTCAAAGACAATTCCTGAAAAATCAGAAATGATGTAATCATTGAAAGATGACATGCACTAAGGTTAAAAACAAAAAGGAAAACCACAGCACAGGATGTACATAAAATTGGGCTGAAGATGGGAGCAGCAGCAGTGGCAACAGTATTCCATGCCTAGATCAGAAGAATGAAGAGAAACTGAGGGAGGAAATATTGAGGATATTCGTAGAAACAACCATATGGGCCCCTTTCCCTCAGCAGAAATAGGGAGCAACTCCGACTCTAATTTCCGCATTAACAGAAGTTGCAAAGTGATTATCAAGGCCCCAAATAAGCACCCAATAAGGAATGATTACCGGTTTTGAAGAAATCTAACACAAAGATACAAAGAAAGAAACTTAAAGGATGGATTGATGCTCTTCTGAGGAAGTAAATGATTTGAAACTACAATGAGGATATTTTGTAAAAAGAAAAGAAAGAGGGAGAGAGAATCAAAGACAGGCAGAGTAAGGGAAGGATGAAGGGAGAAAGGGTGGAGATAGGTAGGTAGTTACGGAGAGAAGGAAGGAGGAAGAAAAAGAAAAAAGAGAAGATTGTGAAATGAAAGATATACTGGTTCAGTTTAAAAATAAATTAACATTGAATAAATCACTGAAAATGTAGAATGTAAATTTAAGCCGGGAGATTGAATTTAAAAATTTTGCCTGAATGATAAAAAGATAGATATAAAAAAGAAAGTACACAAAACCGCATATTGAACTCATGTAATTTACTTTCCAAATTCATCTCTGTAAGGATTGGTTGTGAACGATGTTCAAAAAGAAGAAATTTTAAACCAGGACAAAGAAGAATGAAACACAAAGAAATGATATTCACAGAAAAAGTAAAAGTCATTGCTTTGTCTAAAAATTTATATATATGTTGCAAAACTCCTACCTACCAGTTGCCTTTGAGTCACGTCTGACTCATGGCGACCCCATGTGTTGCAGTGTGCAGTTGTGCTCCACAGGGTTTTCATGGCTATGATCTTTTGGAAGCAGATTGCCAGGCCTGTCTTTCAAGGCACTTCTGGTTGGGTTTGAACTGCCAGCCTTTTAGTTAGTAGCCACATACTTAACCATTTGCACCATCTAGGGACTCCAGTTAACTTCTAAAGGAATAAAAATAGAAAAATATATTTTCTCCCTGAAAAAACTGAAGCAAAGAAACCTTAGTCATTCCAGTAGAATGCAGCACAGAAGGAAATTTAAAAAAAGAGATTATGTGAAACTGTAGGAATATTGTAAGACATATCCAGAATCTTCCAGGGAAATGTACGGAGGTTAAACACTATATAATAACATTCTTTTTCTAAGTGTGATTTAGGTGAAAGTTTACAGAGAAAATTAGTTTCTCATTAAACAGTTAATACACAAATTGTTTTGTAACATCAGTTGCCAACCCTGGAATGTCAACACTCTCGCTTTCTCCACTCCAGGTTCCCTGTTTCCATTCGTCCAGTTTTTCTGTCCCTTATTACCGTCTCGTCTTTGCTTTGGGCTGGTGTGCCCATTGGTCTCGTATACATGTCTGAACTATGAAGCATCTCCCTCACACGTGTTATTGTTGGCCCTATAAACCTGACTAATCTTTGGCTGAAGAATGAACCTAAGGAAATCTTCTGTTCAGCTCTTTTACTTCATTATTTCTTCCATTTGTGGAAACAAGCCATATGTCCATCAACTGATGAATGAATAAACAAAATACGGACTATTTTTAGGCAATAAAAAGTAATGAAGTGCTGATATGTGCTAAACAGGAATTAACCTTAAAAACATGATAAACAAAGAAGCTAGTCACAGAAGAACACATATTTTACAATTCCATCCATACCAATTGTCCAGAGTATGAAAATCTATAGAGATAAAAGGTAGATTAATGGTTGCTTGAGCCTGGGGTGAAGGGGTGATGTGTTGCATGACTGCTAAAGTACAAAAGAATTTTTTTGATTTGATAAAAATGTTCTAAAATTAGAATGTGGTGGTGGTCACACAACTCTGAGAATATACTAAAAACCATTTACTTGTACACTATAAATTGGTGAATTTTATCATATGAGAATTATATCTCATTTAAACTTTTTCTGGCTCCTTGGGTGTAACAAACAGTTAAGCACTTGACTACTAGCCAAAAGGTTAGAGGTTCAGATTCACCCAGAGGCACCTTGGAAGACAGGCCTGGCATCTGTTTCCGACAGGTCACAGCCTTGAAAACCCTATGGAGCAGTTCTGCTCTACACACATGGGGTCACCATGAGTAAGAATCGTCTCAAAGGCCACTGACAACAACTAACAAAAAAGCTTTTTTCTAAAGAAGAAATGCCATTTACAAATAAAGGTGAAATCCTGAAATAATTAATTGTCAACATGCCTATACTAAAAGCAAACAAACAAAGACAATTGTAGTTCCTTGGGTAGGAAAAACAAATGAGGCAAATGAAAATATGGAAGTACATGAAAGAAAGGAAAACAAACAAAAATACTAATCAATAATTATATCTTGTCGAGTTAAATAAGGAGCCCTGGTAGCATAAGAGTTAAGTGCTCAGCTGCTAACCCAAGTGTCTGCAGTTTGAATCCACTAGCCACTCTGTGGGAGAAAGATGTGACAGTCTGCTTCCATAAAGATTACAGCCTTGGAAACCCTATGGGGCAATTCTATTCTGACCTATAGGGTCGCTGTGAGTTGGAATCGACTTGATGGAAACAGGTCCCCCCCACCTTGGTTTGGAGTTAAATTATATGCAGAATTAAATACAGTTAAAAATACTGGTAGTCCCCAATTTACGACGTATTCAAGTTACGACAAACTGCACTTACCACTGTTTGTTTTTTACATCTTATCATTAGTAAATATGTACTACATACAGTGCTGCAGCGGGTAATTTGCTGATCTTATCACTTTCAGATGTTCTCTCACAGATGTTCACAGTTTGAATTTATAAAGATACTGATAATAAAAGGCAATAATAATGAAAGCAAACAAAAAAAAAGAGGCATTTGACTTAAATCAGAACTGTCCATTTTAAGTCGTGAACTACCTGTAATGCAAATTCTGAGGGGAAAATGCGTCATAAAATGTGTAGTATTCTATCAGAATATAGAAGTAGTAGTGGAGAACAATTGTTACTAGACTATATTAAATTGAGATTCATGCTTTAATCTTAGGGAAACTCCTAAATGACAGTAAAAGTAAATATAGATGATTGATAGACTAGATGGAAAATTAAATAAAATAAAAATTACTAATCAAAATGAATACAGAATGTAGGAATAAAGAACATAATGAGACAAACAGAAAAATAATAGCAAGATGCTAAATACAAATCCAACTATATAAAATATTGCATTAAATGTAAACAAACTAATAATACAAAATAAAATCTAAGATTGGATTAAAGAACAAAACGAAACCGTAACTACATTCTTCTTTCGCACAGCACACTGACATTTAAGTAAAGAGTTGAAAGTAAAAAAATGTTGCGACTATGTCATGTATGCACTAAAATCTGTAGATGTAGTAAAACAATATCAGAAAAAGTAGACTTTAGTGTCAGAAACATCACAAACAATAAAGAAAGAACAATTCATGATAAAGTGGTCAGTCTAAAGGGGAGATGGCACAACCCTCAATCCTAATGCAACCAGTAAGATAGCTTTAAAATTGATGAAATTTTAAAATCTATAAAATCTCTCAAAAATCTATGAAACAAAATGACAGAAATAAATGGAAAAATACCAGTTATAGTGGGAGCACTGTGTACCTCTCTCGCCAGCTGATAAGCAGACCACCAAGAAAAAGTAAAACAGTGGGTAAATAAAAGATCTGGAAGTCATAACTTGAAGGAAGCATGGATGCGACTTCTGGAGAGCCAGCAATTTTATGTTTCTTTATCTAGGTGTTTATTATATCAGGATGTTCAGTTTGTTGTGTATATTTTCCTTATATATATATATTTCAATAAAATATGAAAAAATGTTAAATATTTTCAGATTTAGAAATAAAACAATCATGTGGTGCCTTCAAGACTCAGCTTTAATGTAAGATCTCTCTAATGATTATACCTATTCATACTAAACTATTTGAAAATCAAATTTAGAAATCTGTGATAAACACTGTTATGAACATTTTTATGCATGTTTCTTGGTGTATATGTGCAAGAAATTCTCTAAGGTATATACCTATGAATGTAATTATTTGATTATAGGAGATACAAGACCAGTATTGCAAATTCATGTTAAATGTTTTTTGAAGTACTTTTTATTGCTCTATACTATCATTAGCAGTATATATTAGTTCTCCTTGATGTATTCTTCAACTTTTGTTATTATCAGACTTCTGTAATTTGTATAAGTGACATGTCACTGTGCTTTTGAATTGCATTTCTTTGATTATAAATTAGGTTTATATCAATTTTGTTCTGTAGAAATAATAATTTTTCTCCCTCTCCGAATGTCTCTTTCATATCTTTTGCCCTTTTTTTCCCTCAATGATAAAATCAAATTACATATATAATCGAG